CCTGACCCAGGGCGCCCCTGGGCTCACAGCGGGTGTGCTGGGATCCTGCCCTAGGACCCCAGGCTGAGGACTGAGGTAGGGGGCTGGAGGGGAGCTGCCTGTCCTGTCCCTGTGTGGCCACAAGGGGGCTCTGGGATCAGGTTTTTCCCGTTTCTGCAGCTGCTACTGCTGCAAGAGTTCCCAATGATCTCCGCACACAGCTTTTTGTCGACCCCTGCTCATACTGCAGCAGCCACGGCGGAGGTGCCTGCTGGCCCAGAAGGCAGAGAGAGGGAGCACAGACTTTGCTCTTCATAATCCCACTGCAGGCCATCCCCTCTGCCAGCCAGGAGGCCCCCAGTTGTCTCCCCTTCATGCCCACGACTGCTGGGTGTGGGCAGGGCAACCACCCAGCCACACTGCTTTTTTTCATTATCGCATCCCTGAGCAAAGATTGCAGTAAACATTGTTCTCTTCCCAGTCTCCTGGCCATTAGAGCTTGGACTCTGCTCTCCTGTCACTGCTGAGATCTGGACAGACAGCCGCAGGAAAGTGTAAGCTAGACGTCAGGAAGGACTTCCCCATGGTTGAAGGAGGCTGGGAGAGTCACTGGTTCCTCTGGTCCAGAGGAAGATCTGGGTCCAGGAGTGGGAAGAGGCCTCTGCTCTTTAGCCCTCTATGGTATTTTCCCAGGGGTGCCAGGCAGGAGAGACTGAGTGCTTTTGCTCACCCCAGAGAATCGTGGATGTTGTCAGGCCTTTGGGGTCTGGAATTTCTGTGCCTGGGGAGAGATGCATTCGTGGGGTCTTTCAAAGGGAGTGGAAAGGAGCTATGCAGTGGCACACACCTGTAATGCCAGCACTCTGGGAGGCTGAGGCAGGAGGATGACAAGGTCAAGGCCATTTAGTGAGACACTAACTGAAAATAAAATAAAAATGGCTAGGGGTATAACTCAGTGGAGAACATATGCAAGTGAGCCAGGGTTGGTTCCGTAGCACTCTCCCTGAAAGGGTGGATAAAAAAGGAAACCTTTGAACTGCTCTGTCTGCAGCCTGGTGACTGCTGGCAGAGGGAAGGAGGAAAGGACAGAGTCCTTTTTGTGACATTTTAGGTGTGTTTCCAAGGTCCGCATTGGATTGATCACTGCCAATTCACAAGGCACAGCCAATAGGAGGCACCACCTCCAGAGCAGTGCCTGGTACCGCACCCTCACACTTGCCCTCTAAGTCAGGAAGGGACAGGCCTCTGTTTGCTGTACTGTAGCTGTCCCAGAGTGAAGTGGGACATGAAATGTCACTTGCCTCTTTTTTTTGTTTAATTTTTTTTTGTAATTTTTTTTTGTCTTTTTCGTTTTTATTGGTACCAGAAATCGAACTCACGACTGCACACTTGCAAGGCAGGTGCTTATGCCGCTGAGCTAAATCCCCAGCCCCTTGTTTGATTTTTTGAGATGGGGTTTTACTATGTAATTCAAGCTGGACTTGAACTCACCATGTAGCCCAGGCTGGCCTCAAATTCACGGTGATCTTCCTGCCTCAGCCTCCAGAATGTCAGGATTGCAGGCATGTGCACCATGTCCAGCCACCTGCCTTTTTTGGGGGAATCTGTCTTTAATTTTGGCACTGAGCCCCCCTTGAAGAAGCAAATCTCATTTCTGCCTCTGTCCCCACTCTTTGGAAGGGTGGACAGACAGCCTTCTCTCCAGGCCACTGCAAGCTTTGGGAGATGGGACATGTAAGAGGGCCTCAGGCCCAGTGTGGAAGAGCTTCTGTCTTCTGCCCTATACCTAGTCTTGCTTGTTTCTGCAGAAGGGCAATATGTCCATTTCCAAGATAGAAAAGTAGAGGCAGGAATGATGCAAAGGCTGATGCGAGGATCTCTGCCTACATGCTCTGTCTGAAGCCAGACCCCTTCTTCCTTCATCTGTTTCCTCCTTGCCCTCCTCCCATGAGGAAAGACCCTTCTCTAACTCTTCTGTGCTCCCCACCCACCTTTTTTCTTTTTTCCTCTTCTGCTCCCCCTTTCTTCCTCTCAGCTCCATTTTTCCATCTTCTATTTTCTTTTTATTCATCCATCTATTTATTAATCAAAACTAGGAAATGTACATCCTGTGGCCTTGGTGACTCAAAAGCCTTTTCAACTATCCCCCAACCTCCTGGGTTCTTAGTCTTTCTTCCTAGACTCTCCTAGGCTGGGGCCTTGGAGACCTGTGTCTGCAGAGAGAGGTAGGCTGTGTGGTAAGTGCTGCCTTTCAGCTTAAATTCAGAGGAGGAGGAGGAGGCTGGGGGTATAGCTCAGTGGTTGAGACTTTCCTGCAGGGTGCTCTGGGTTTATCTTCAGCACTGCAAACACACACACACACACACACACACACACACACACACACACACTGCAAGAGACTTCTCAGAAGAGGTGTTCATTGATATGCGTTTTAAGGAATGAGCTGGAGCTGACCAGGTTCCTAAGGGGTGGGAGAAAAGCAGTGTTGTCAGAGGGACCACAAACAGCAAAGGATGCTGCTACAAAGGGGCAGGGAGAATTTAGGGCACGAGCAGTAGCTCTGTAGGGCTGGAGTCCAGAGGGCTTGCGGGAGGGAGAGTAAGCTCCCAATCTGGAAGTGAGCAATGTACCTCAGAGATGACAGCCCTTGGTCCCTGCTCAGGGAGGGACAAGGGGAGGGGAGGAGTTGGGATCCTGCGAGAGTGTCTGGCCCTCACATGCTCCCTACTGGCTGGCTCCCCTGCCCTGGGAAACTTACAGGGCTGATTCTGGTTCTGGTGGTCTCACCTAAAAATGGGAAGGGTGAGCCAGACACTGCCACACACCTGTATTCCCAGAACTCTGGTAGGCTGAGGCAGGAGGATTGCAAATTCAAGCCCAGCCTGGGTAACTTATTGACTGAGGCCCTGTCTCAAAAAAAAATTATCTATCTATCAATCATCTATCTATCTTTGGGCTGCAGCTCAATATGATGAAGGCTCTGGGTTCAGTGCTCAGTACTGCAAAAAAAATCAAAGAGAGTGATGTACACTGTGTCATTTCTTTAGGTTCCCTTCAGCATCAAGAGCTGCAGTGAGGTCACTCTGGGCTTGTGTGGGCAGGGCAGGCTTCCTGGAAGAGGAGGTCTAATATGGAACTAAACTCAGGATATGGAAGGCTGGGAATATCATGGAGATGAAGGTCGAGGGCAGAACTTGAAAGCTACATGAGACTGCATGGTTGATTTTGGGCAAGGCTGGTTTGAAAGCAGGAGAGGGCGCTGCCTGGGGGGTGGGGCAGTGGTGACTTGGGCTGTGAGGAGGGGATGGGAGACCGCAGGGTACTCGTGTGATCTTCCTCCCTTCTACCTTTGTGCCCCAAGGCTCTGGGCGCAGACTAAGCTACAGGGGCTGCAGTCACAGGCACTGGTTCTGTAGGAAGGACTGGAAACCAGGAACATGCAAATGAGATGCAAATGACATGTTAAGCAGCTGCACTTCCACGCCCACTGCCTAAGGTCGGTTTTGCCTGGGGTCAGAGTCATTGTGGGAATGAAGGGTTCTGTGCCCTCTGCCTTCCTTCTCAGGGTGTTCCTGCTGCCTTGGTGGTACCTTGCAGGCCCTGGGATGCGGTTCTGAGCTGCCTTAGCTTCTCCAGGCGCAGGAGCTCCCCAGGCTCAGGGCTCTGATCCTGCTGCTTGCTCAGGTTGGGTTCATCACTGAATGGGGAGACCAAAGGACAAAGCAGAAGCCAGAGGAGAGCAGATTTCTCAGAAAAATGGATACATCCGACCCAGAGCACTGAGCACCCCAGGGACCCCAAGAGACACATTCCAGCAGAGACCATGAGTGACAGAGGCAGATGGAGAGGGCTCCTCTCCAATGTCGGCCTTCAGGGCCTGCCGGCTTCCTCTCCCTGTCTGCCTGTCCCTGCTGCTAGTCCCTTTGTCTGTCTAGCTCTTTGTTTGTTTGTCTCTTTGTTTGCGTGTCTCTTTCCCAGTTCCCCCTTTCTTTCTCCTCTGCTGTCTGTCTGTTGTCCAGACCTTGCTTTCTGTCACTGCCCTCTGCCTGTCCATATCCATGGGGAGAAACTGCCAGCTGGGATCTCAGGCCCCTGTGGCCTAGCCTCCTGCTCTTAGATGAGTTCTTGCCTTGACTCCTCCTTGCTTTGGGTCTCTATTTCCTCCTTTTTGGAGTGGTTTCTTCTTCTGCCTTCTCTCATGTTTGTGAAACTCGTGTGTGAGCAGGTGATCGTATCTGTGATTGCTTGGCTATTGTAACAGGATTTGATGCAGCCAAGGGGCAATGCTGCTCTTCACCTTCTAGGGACAAAGCAGAAAGGAAAAAAATGACTGCAGCATGAGGCAGAGTGGTCAGACATCCAGAAGGACTTCCCCCAAAGAGAGGTATGGGAAATATTAGAGCCAGTCAGCTAGAAGATCTCCATGGCAGGAAGATGGGGGGACGTGACCTTCCGCAGTCTGCAGTAAGGAAAGCTCTTTAGGTGTTACCAGTTAGGAGAGACTGGAACCCTGGGGATTCATCACCTGTCCTAGCTCTCACCTGGACTGCAGCTCAGTGGGAAGGGGTGAGGAGGAAGTTCGTCCCTCTCCCGCCTCCACCCCTTCCCCACACCTTCCCTAGCTCAGGACCACTCCGCCCCCGCCAATCCATGAGAGATGGCTGCTGGGGACGGAGTGATGTATGTAATGCAGATAAAATGTCAGCAATTCTAAATGGGTCCGGAGATGCAGCGTGGGGGGGGGGAGGGAAAAAGGGCGGAGCAGGGGGGAAAGAGGAAGGGAAAATGAGATGTGGGTCCTCACCGGGAGGGAGGGCTGGAGGGGCAGACACCCCCTCCCCCAGCAAAGGCCAGGGGAAGGGTGGGCCCAGGAGGCAGGAGCCCAAATGAGATTTTGAAGAGGGAGCTGGAAGGTGGGGGTGGAGAGGAGGAGGCAGGCGGGGGCAGTGGGGCCGGAGCTGCTGATGTATAGCGGTTTCATAACTTCCTCAGTATTAAAGGCAGGTTCATGGGGAGGGCAGCTCCATTAATCACCGGGCTGAATGGGGCCGGGATCTGCTGAGAGGCGCGCTTACTGTCTGCTGCGCCTGCCCGGCTCTGGGCGGGAGGGGGCAAGGGCGATGCCCCTCTCAAAGAAGGGGTAAGACCCCAGCGTGCTATTCTGGGTGTTGGGCAAATGGGTCCTTGGCTAAAGGGGAGGGCAGGGGCTGGGGATGCGGCTAGGAAGAAGAAAAGGAAGGTTGTGACAGGGCCTGGAAGGGGGGTAAGGGCTGGGGGGCTGATGGGGGCAGAGGCTGAGGGACCCTGGGGAAGAAAAACTGGAGAGGGAGGACTGTGCCTTTGAACATGAAATTGATCACATGTAAATATAATGCAAATGACATGCAAACGAGCACAGGGTTCTCTGGGTCCACTGCTCAGGCATTCTCCTTCTTGGATTGAGAATTGGGGCCAATTTGCATCTCACTCTATGCCCAGTACCTCCATGCTCCATTATGAATATTGACAGAGGGAGGAGGCCAGGTCTCCCTTGTGGGGGTGGGCGGCAGGGGTGGAGCTGGGAAAGGGCGAGGCCATGCCTGTCCTAGAGTGGTGACATCAGGAACACTGACATGCCTGAGTGACAGTGAGAAGTGGGACTCAGGGATCTGAGTCTGAATTGATGGGGGTTAGAAGGGAAAAGGCTCAGCATGGAGGCAGAAAGATAGACAGACAGACAGACAAGTCCCCTCTGCTCATTTGACAGCCCCTGAGCCAGTGAGATGAGAACACATCCTGTATCTTGTGAAGTAGCCTCTGTCCCCTCTTCTAGGGAAGAAAGACCAGTGCTAAGAGTCAGAGAGGAAATGAGCTTTCTAAGGTCATAGTACTGTCCACTGCTGGACCTCGGCTTCAAGTCGCCTTGAGAGTTCTGGGCTTCTTCAATATGCTGTAAGCACGTCCATGATGAGATAAAATAAAAATAGTGGTATTCATGTCTTCCTCTGCTTCCCTCCCCTGGCTTGAGGATCCCTTAGGCGAGCTCTCTGCCACTGAGCCACATCCTCAGTACTGCCCAGGTGTTTACTGAGCACCTGACAGGGACAAAGAGGGGCCGTCCTGAGGAGAGGGAAGCCTGAATGTTGACTTCCGGAACACATCATCTAGCAGAGCCACAGACATTTCTTTTTTAGAATCTTTTATTTTGCTCACTGTTTATATTATATTTGTATTATATAGAATAATATAATATTTATGTTATATTTATATTGTATTTATCATATATGAGAACCATATGATAATGAACCTTGTATCTGACTTATTTCATAACATTATGGTCTTGGGCTGGGGCAATGCCTGCCTGGCAAGTGCAAGGTTGTGAATTTGATTCCTACCAAAAAATGTGTAGTCTGATAACACTATAGTCTTAAGGTGCATCCATTTTCCCAGACTTAACAGTTGGTGACAGTGGTCACAAGAGAGGTACAGTCCAGGCAGAGGCAGTGGAGGCAGTGGGGTGAGGGTACCAGGGAATGCTGCAAGGGAGGTGATTTTTTTCTCTTCTTTTTCTTTTTGTCCTATACTGGGTTCTGCTAGGCAAGTGGTCTACTGCTGAGCTATACCCTCAGGCTTTCTTTTTCCTTTTTCCTCTTCTTTAAATTTTGACACAGGGTCTTGCTGAGTTGCCCAAGTTGACCTCAAATTAACTCTATTCCTCGTCTCCTTTCTTTCTTTCTTTCTTTTTTTTTTTTTTTTTTTTTTTTTTGATCCTATGTAGCACAGGCTAGCCTCAGATTCCTAACTATCCTCCTGCCTCAGCCTCTAGGGTGCTGGGATTACAGGTGTGTGCCACAGTGCCTGACTGACCTTGAACTTTTGATCCTCTTACCTCAGCCTCTCAAGTGCCTAGAATTACAAGTGTACATCATCATGCCCATCTGGGAAGTGGTATTTGGCTTGGGTCTTGGGGACTGGGTAGAATGTGTTCCATGGCAGAGGAATGGGAAGAATGTTCTAGGCCAGGGATGATCTGGGCCACTGTGCAATGGAGGAGAGGATGAGAAAGCTATGTTCCCCATGTCTTAGTATTAGAGGCGTGGAGGTGAGAGGGAAGTCAAGGGAGCCGGTAACAGGACCTGAGGTCCAAGACGTGGACACTACCTAGAGGCTGGTTGGGAGGAGGCAATGAGGTCGGTCATTCACTGAACTACTGTTCAGTCAATAGACACTGATTGTACTGCAGCCAGAGCAGGGTTTCTCATAGCTCGGGATGCAGAGATGAAGGGATATGGCCCCCCTCCTCAGGAGGGTCCCTTAGCAGTAATGTCGAAAGAATGATCTGGGTATATAACAGTGTTTCTCTTGGAGGAGGACTGTGAGAATTCGATGCAAGAGTCTACATAAGGTACTCAGGGTGGCGTGCGGGATGGAAGGTCAGCTCAGGAGAGCTTAGTGACAGCTGCTGCATGGCAGGCCCTGTTCTGCAGGTGTCGAATGGGTGGAGGGAGAGGCAGGAGGATGTGGTCAGTGCTGCACAATCTCTGGAAGAGGTGGAGAGGGTGGCGTGACTGGGACAAGGGGAAGAGTCACAGAACTGTGAGAGGAGGAAGGGGTGAGAGAAGGCACATGACAGAGCACAGGCTAGCAGGGAAGGTGTGGCCTGGGAGCCCCATAGGATGGCTTTAGGACTCTGAAGACTTTTCCTTGGTTGGGGTCTCTGCTCTTTGGCTGTTCCCTTGGGAGTGCAGGCAGGGCCAGGGCCAGGGTTTGGGGGAGCTGGGTGCTAGGATTCCTGGGTTCCCTTCCCACCTGGCTTCATGGGTCTCCCAGACTCTTCTGTCTCATTGCTGAATTCTGCTCAACTTGTGGGAGATGTTCCTCACACTCTATCAAAATCTAACTTCCATCCTTCTTGCTGCAGGACTTGGGGATCAGTCCAACCTGCTCCGCTGTCTGTCTGATGTCTGTGTGGTCCCCTCAGGATAATTGTTCTGGACAACTCTAACACCACTCAGACAGATTGTCCGGCCTCCTGGCCCGACATCTCCCACCACTGCATCAAGCCAAATTACTCAGCCTTCCCCCCAGCCGGGGGCCCTGGTGAAATCCGATTAGCAAGGAGAGAGCTGCGTTCAGCTGACAGTTCCTTCGATAATTGCTTCTCAAGTAAGCGACACAAATCAGCCCATCTAGCCTGTTCCTGTTCCTCTCCTGGGGACCCAGGAGTCCAGCCCCAGGAGTGGGAGTTGAGGAAACTTGGAAGCTGTTTCCTGATACTGGTGACGTGGGCATCAGTCCATAAAGTTGGGCTGTGCTGCCCTGGGCCTGAGATGGTGGTGGCAGGGTAGAGGCCGAGCCAGAGACCCCACTGGCTCTGCATTTCTGCCTTCTCATTCCTTGGAGAAGGATCCCATGTATCCATTTCTCTGTCAGGTAGAAGAAGGCAGGCATCTAGAAGATACAGACAGAGAAATCACTGAACATGTTAGGCAAACAATGGGTGAACTTGTAGCCTAGATCCCCTGGCTCTCCAGTTCTAGGAGGTGATGGGATGAAACCTGTGGGACCGTCAGACATCTCCCTCCACTTGTGGAGGCCCTCTGCACCAGATGGGGGAAAGACAGGAGGGTTATATTCCACAGTGCTGGAATGGGCTGTCATCCAGGTCTCTGAAGGCTTTTGGAATCTGATCAAACCTTCAGCCTTTTGAGTCTGTGCCCAGGACATATTCTTGGGACACAATCCCTTGACTTACCTCATACAATACGGGCCTTTCTTCCCTTTTTCATAGCATAGAACTTTTAAAGGTCTGTTAATGAATATCCTTCCTTAATGCATTTCTTCCTTATATTGTGTGAGTGTGTGTGTGTGTGTGTGTGTGTGTATACATGTGATTTGGACTGAACCAAGGGTTTTGTGTGTAAGAACACACCCTGAGCCAGGTGTGGTGGCACACACCTGGAGTCCTAGTACTCTGAGAGACGGAGGCAGAAGGATCACAAGTTTGAGTCCAGCTTGGGCAACTCAGCAAGGCTCTATCTTAAAATAAAAAATAAAAAAGACTGGGGTCATAGTTTAGCATAAAGGCCCTAATCATCAATCCTGCAAAAACAAAACATGTAACAGAAAGAACACACTCTGAGCTGGGCATGGTGAGGCACACCTGTAATCCCAGCACTCAGAAGGCTGAGGCAGGAGGATTGCTGTGAATTCAAGGCCAGCCTGAATAACATAGTGAAAAAAAAGAACACACTTTGCCACTGAATCACACCCCTTCACCCCATCTACTGCTGATCTTGGACGCATGAAAGGTATTTTTCTTGCAACCCTAAATTTCTACGCTCAAACCTAGCCTATGCTAGTCTGTCTTTGTTGAACTCTCCAGGGATGAGTTGCTCAGACTTGACCTCTGTGCTTATGTCAGAATATGGTTCTTGGCCTGAATCTTGAGTGTTCAGCCCAGCATCTGCCTGAGACTCTGGCTGTGGTCTAATAGCAACAACTGAGCTTCAAGGAACACAAATTCTGATCTGGACATTGTATCAAACACCTTATGTAATTAAGTAATTTAATTGTTACAAAAGAAGGCATGGATTGCAAAGATTATCTCATTTTACAGCTCAAATAACTGAGGCACACAAAAATTAAGTAATTTGCCAAAGGCCATCACTAAGTAAGTAAGTGACAGAGCTGGAATGCAATTCAGACAGCCTCATTCTACAGCTTACACTCTTTCTCCTCCAATTCATATTCATTCATCTTCAGTCTCTCTCTCCAGCACTGGGGATTGAAGCTGGACCCTTTACACCGAGCTACATTCCATGTATATACGTATGTTTTAAATTTTCAGACAGAGTATTACTAAGTTGCGAGGCTTGAACTTGCAATTTTCCTGGCTTAGCCTCCAAGAATGAGGGATTTCCGGGTGCAGTGGTGTATACCCGTTATCCCAGCACTTGGGAGGCTGAGACAGGAGGATCATTGTGAGTTCAAGGCTGATCTGAACTACATGCCAAGACCTTGTGTCAAAAAACAAAACAAAACAAAACAAAACAAAAAACCCGCAGGGATTATAAGTGTGCACCACCACACACAGCTTCCAATGTTCCTTTAATGTTTTCTGGGCCGACCAAGAGGGTCCAGTGTAGTGGGGTTAGGGCAGGTGTCTACACCCTATTCTTTAGGGTTATCCAGGGAGCTGACCAGGTGACACTTGGAACTTAGGAAGGCAAATAGGTTTTCCTTTCTCCAACACCCAGTCTTTGTTTTCTACAGCTGGAGGCCCTGTGGCTAGACGATCTTCCTTGCTGCAGAAGCATGGAAGCAAGGGCAAAGGCTGAATGAGCAGCTTAGGAAAGTGAGCTGGGAGTCAGAGCTAGGCACTCCACAGGCCGATAGATGGCGCTCAAGGCCCAACACAGCCCCAATAGCCCAAGGAAACCTAGGGGAAAAAAATCAAAAAACAAAACAAAACAAAAACCCCCCCAAAAACCGGAGTGAGCAGATTAACCCCTTCCCCACTGGGTTCAGGCCTGAGCTACAGGCTGGTGGGCTTGGACAGCCCCTCTCTAGGTGATTCAACTCTTTAGCTTGTTACCCAGGCCACAGCCTGGACCTGCTCCTACTCTTATTCCCAAGGCTCTATCCATAAACCACTATTTTCAGCCCCTTGAAGACTACTGAGAGGGCCAGGAGACTAAGAAATGGGCGATGTTTCACCTAAGCCTATGCTCACCTCTCAGGGCTCTATCTCTTGAAAGTCTGCATGTGTCTCTATTTCTCTGCACCATCTTTCCTGACAGACAAATAGGTAGAGAGGAGCAGCATGGGCCCAAGACTCCTGTAGGGTCAGCTGTAGCAAATCACTGGGGGATGCCCAAACCTCAGTTTCTCCTTTTTATCTGAATTCCCTATCTCTGAGCTTGCTGGGGTAGATGGGCTTATAGGGACAGAGTTACCTGATTCTCCCAGGAAGTTAAAACTAAAGGAGTGGGGGTCTTGGCATATTTATTTGTCTGTCACTCATTTTACTTATTATTGTCCTGCTAGAGGTAGACTTGGGCATGAGGGGAGGCTGCCAAGATGATAAACTGAAATCATTGGGTGAACAAGTGGCAAAGTGGTTGGGTTGATAGAAAGATATCTATCTGATGGTTGAAATCTACGAAAAAAATTTTTGAGACAGGGTCTTGCATGTAGCTCAGGCTGGTCTTGAAGTCATGATCCTTCTGCCTCAGCCTCCCAAGTGCTAGAATCACAAGTATATACCACCATTCCTCGCCAGGTAGAGGAATTCTAAAAAAAAAAAAATGAGATGACACCACAGTGAAGTCCCTACTTGTTTTTGTTTAGACACATACATGATAAGTGTCATGGAGGAAGAGAAGCCCATTCTAAAAGCTAACTCTTATTTCAGTAATACCAGAGAAAGAAACAAAGACAGATATACACTGAAAGAGGCAGAGATGCAAATATATGGAGAGAAAAAATATAGGAGAGATGAGATAAATTTATATAGGTGGGGAAAGACAAAGACACAGAGAAGGGGAGAATCTGGTACAAATTAAAGCTCAGGAAATAATGGGCTTCATGAGGTAGATGATTCATTCCGTTTCTGAAATCTTGCAAGGGTGGGAGGGGTTTCTCACTTTAGTGTCAGAGGGGTCACTGCTCATGGTGCCCTGAAACTCCTGCTGCACCTATTAAGTTTGTCTGCTAATAGAGGACTGAAGGAGGCTTGGGAAATGAGTAGCACTCTTGTTCTCTCATTTCTTTCTGCTCTTGGGTTCACTAGTCTCCTTCCCTACTACATACAGGGAGACCTTGCTTTGGTGATCAGAGTCCTGGCTGTGCTCAGCATGGGTGGGAGTGGGAGGAACCCAGAAGATAACTGGCTTAGGGGATTTTTACTCTATTGAGAGTCCTATAGTCAGAACACATAGAAAGATCTAGAGGACAAGACCAAACCAAGGACAAATGAGCATGATGGTGCATGCCTGTAATCTCAGCATTCAAGAGGCTGAGGCAGGAGGATCACCACGAGTTTGAGACCAGCCTGGGCTACAAAGTGAGCTCATGGCCAGCCTGAACTGTATAGTGTGAACCTGTCTCCAAAAGACCACAAAACCAAACCAACAAACAAAAAACAAACCTAGGAATCAAAGTTTTGGGTATTGGTTCTTAGACAGGTGTAGGTGGGCTATATAAGTGCAGTCAAGGAATTACAATTGGTGAAAAAAGGCTTCCTCGGAAGAATATTTGAGAAAGAAGATTTGGATGAGCGGAAATGTGATAGTTAATTTTATATGTCCACTAATGTGGATTAAAGTCACCCAGATACTGTAGTTGGCTTTTGCTTCTAGGTGTGTCAGGGAGGGCATTTCCAAGAGACTGGCATTTGAATTGGTAAACTGAGTCAGGATCACACACTCCCTTAAGGCCCAATAGAACAAAAAAGCATAGGACACGTAAATTCTCTTTCTTTATGAGCTAGGACATCTATTTTCTCCTACCCTTTGACTTCATTGGAGATCTGACTAAAGGTCTTGGTTCTCAAGCCTTCAAGCCCTGGGACTTATATCTACAAGCTTCCCTGCAATCCCTCTTCAGATTCAGACTCAGACTGAATCACACCGTAGGTTTTCCAGCTTATCAACAGTAGATCAGCAGATCATGGGACTTCTTTGTTCCCCCATCCTGTGGGTCAGTCACATGGTAAATTTTCTCATAGAGGAAAATAAATAGATATTCAATTGGTTCTGCTTCTCTGGAGAACCCTAATATAGATTATGGGGCTAGGCAAATAGCAAGGCAGAAGAGGGAGAAAAGCCAAAATGGTGAACCTATGAAGGCGTTGGACAGTAATGGGGTAGTGTTTGCTTTTAGAGTTGTTAGGAGTCACCAGAAACGCCTCCGTTGGTGTTCTGCCTACAGCAATGGACCCTTGAGGGTTGCAAAGGAGTAGTCTCTTCTCCCTGGGGTAGCCAGACTGGTAGAAATAGATTTTTAGCCATTGTCAGTATCCTCAAGTGGGTAAGAGATTTGGGATGGTTGGAGCTTCCTGATGCTTAGGAATAAACTTTAGGATTAGGTTCTCTCATTTCTTTTTTTTTTTTTTTAAGGTTCTCTCATTTCTTAAGATTTCTAGATTTAGCTCCTTTTGAGTCTCCTGAGTGCTGAACTAACATGCCTACACCAACCACCACACTCCATTGGATTCAGCGCTGATGGTAAGAATAAACTACAACTCCCAGCACCACTTGGGGGCTCACCCGGCGTACTTTTCCGGGGATTTGGGCATTTCCGGCGGAAGTGGCTGTGGCTGAACCAATCTCCTTCCCAAAATACTGCGGACTATGACTCCCACTATCCTTCACGCCTGGCATGGGGAAAGGAACTGGAAACTGGATGGGAGTGTGTATCAGGTGAGGGAGCGGAAGGCTGGGAATGTAGGTCTCTGAGGCCCTCCCATGGCGCTAGGGGCAGAGCTGAGAGGGTGGTAAGAGAGCTGGTGTTTTGGGGGCCTTGCCTCGTCTGGAGCTAGTCCCAGTGTGAGGGAGAGGCGACCAGGGATCGCCTGGGAGGCTTGAGGATCACAGCCTTCCCGTCCGGTGGAGCCCGCGTGCGCAGGCGGAGTTTTGCAGAGTACTTGGCCTTGGCCTGTCGGAATCAGAGGAAGGGTGGAAGAATCTTACTGAGTGTATGCTCTGTTTTGGTTTTAAGGATTTGCTTGTTGTCCATATGGATGCCTGGAGTACCACTAAGGGACGGGAGTGGACAGTGTCGTGGGTACTGGGTAAACTTTTTCTACTGGATGTCCGAAAACCCGAGTATCTGTCAAAATTGGTTTTGGTTCGCCTCACTGCCTTTACATCTGATCTAATCTGGCACCTGTAGTGTTCAGGTTATAAAGCTTAGGCTATATTGAATTATAATTTGTTGCTTATCTGTTCTCTCACAGTACTAGAGATAGTAGTGAAAGCCACACACACACAGTTTATTCATTTTGAATTTGTTCCCCACAAAGATATTGCCACAGTGCTTGTTATGTAAAAGACTCAAATATTGAAAGAATAAATAAAGCAAGTTAACAGTTGGTAGTGGTTTGATGGCATATGGGATTTTCCTGGAGTGGAGAGTTACATGAATCTTGCTGAGCACTGTGGTATAACCTGGTAATCCTAGGTACTCTAGAAGCTGAGGTAGAAGAGTTACAATTTGGTAAGATCCTGTTTCAAAACAAAACAACAAACCAACAACCAGAACCTTCGTAGAGATGAACCCAGGACTAGAGTTCAAATTAGTTGACTTCTCCTCTGTGGTTCTTGATAACTAAATCGGGCTTTGGAACTCTGGAATTCTGAAAATAAGATCTGTCACTTTTGTATACCCCTATTCTTGTCTTTCCTGTGTGTGTTTTTGTTTTGTTTTCTTTTAAATTAGGGTTTTGCTGTATACCCTGGTTGGCCTTGAACTCACAAATTAGCCCAGGATTGGGTGAGTTTGGCTGGTCTCAAGTTCACCCAATACTTCTGACTCAACCTCCTGAGTATTCCGGTTACAGGCAAACACCACCATGCCTAGCATCTTTCCTTCACTAGCTCAGGTCTCTAAATGCAAAAAGTAGACTCAGAGAGATCCTACAGTGGAGCAGGGGGAGGTGCAAAGAAAGGAGTCCTGATATGTTTGGGTTCACCACACCTTTCTTCTTACTTTTTGTATAAGCTTATTTGGTCCTGAGTACCCACCTGGACAGATCATTTAAGGACTTCTGAGGCAGGGGGATTAGCTCAGTGGCTTGAGTGCCTGCTTGGCAAGCGTGAGATTGTGAGTTCGACCCCTGGTAACCCCTCCGTCACTAAAAAAAAAAAAAAGACTTCTGAGATTAGGACTTCCTAAATTCAAATTCTGGGGTTTTCTTCTTCTTTTTTTCTTCTGGTAGTCTAGGATGATAGAATACGCTGATGGCTCCAGCCTCAACACCCAACACTTATTTTTTCTTTTTGAGATGGGGTCTGTGCTCTGTAGTTCAGGCTGGCCTTAAGCTAATTTTTAGCCAAGGCTGGTCTTGAAGTCACAAAGATCCTCCTGCCTCAGCCTCCAGAGTACTGGGATTACAGGCACCTGCCACCATGCCTGGCTTAACATCCAAAACTGTTGTTTGAAGTGTTTTTTGTGTGTGTATCAGGGATTGAACTCATGACCTTTCACTTGCCAGGCAGGTGCTTGTGCCACTGAGCTAAACCTCTGGTCTGTTGTGTGATTTTTTTTTTTTTTTAATTTTAAGACAGAGTAATGTAAATTTGTCCAGTCTGGTCTTGAATTTGTAATCTTTTTGCTTCAGCCTCTTAAGTAACTGGGATTACAGACCCATACCCCTGGCATCTGACTTGTATCAATCTAGGTACAACAACCTCACCTGGGGAGAGCAGTCAGTCTTGACCTAGGCTCAGGCTGAGAGGAACAGTGGTCCATGCTCTATGGAGGCCCAGACATGGAAACACACTCTAGCAAGTCTTGGAAAGCAAGCAGCTGAGCCTTGAGTGAACTCAGGATGTAGATGTGGAGAGAAATGTGTCAAGAACGTTTCTTGGGGATGGGAGTGTAGCTCTGTGGTAGAGCACTGGCCTAGTATACTCAAAGTGTTGGCTTTGATCCCAAGCACTTAAAAAAGAGAATGATTCCTTGGTAGATAGTAGTTTTATTTCTGGTTTACTGATAAAGTATGGCGCTAGCTCCGAGCTCATGTTTGTGGAGTACCTAACAAAAGCTAGAACCTTAGAGTTGTGGATAGAAATTGAATTGAGCTTGGCCCCTGATCTGCCCTAGTTAGGGAAGGCAAGATGTAAAATTCATGATGAAGCCACTAACCATGGTGATATACGGTAGCTGTCAGCATTTGTTAGCCGTTGTAATCACATTTAACATAGAGATATACAGTCCTCACAGATAATCTTTTGTGTGGGAGGAGGTTAGGAATTTATTGCAAATACTGCCATGTTCTCAGCAGGGCAAACTTTAACAGAAGGGTGGTTTGAGCCACATCTTGAAGAAGGGATATGATTTGGATGTATAGGGATGTGGGGGAGTCACTGCCCTCATTGATGTCTACTGGGTGATGTGCTTGTCTCAAGAAGTAGACTTGGTTGGGTTTGTAGAAATAACATGTGCAAAGTTTTGGAGATTGAGGCAACAAGTTAGAACGCTGAGTTTGCTTGGGAGGGCTGAGGAGGAACGGCCTTTGCAGTTTATCACAACCCTTGCTGTCAGGCTCCCTCTCCTCATTGTATCCTCTCCCCTTTTCCTTTTTTCTTCTTTTCATCCTCTTCTGACCTATGCATAACACCTCATTCCATTCTTATATCAATATTATGTAGTAGGAATTACTCTTATTTGGGTGGGGAAACCTGAGCCCCTGGCCATGGTTACATAGTTTTCGAGAGTCTTTTTTGGGGTCTGGGGATTTAGCTCAGCAGCATAAGCACCTGCCTTGCCAGCATGCAGTCATGAGTTTGATCCCCAGTACCAAAAAAAAAAAAAAAAGAGTCTTTTCTGAATCAGTTAATCATTCTGTTTACCACTGAGGATTCTTGAATGGGGAAGAAGTTGGGCTGGAGCTCGGAGGCTGTAGAACTAGCAGAGTGGCTGATCAAACCATCTAAAGCAAGTTGGTGTGGGTGGTTAAGAGCATAGCCTTGAGTCAGATAGTGGAGGTTCAAATCCCAGCTTCATTTACTTGCTAGCTGCCTGCCCGTGCGCAAGTCGTTTGATCTTGCTAAGCCTCAGTCTCCTCACTTCTAACATGGGAGCAGTAATGCCTACCTCATGGGGTCGTTATGAAGATCAATGAGGTGTACCTCATGTAGAGCAATTGCTTACCACCTGGAAACGATTGTAGTTAGCCCTCTCAGGTCTCTGGGCTGTGGCTGTGCACCTGCATCTCATTCGTCAGCACAGTGGTTTCCAGGACACAGCCCATCCTGGCTGGACTTGTTTCACTAAGTGCAGAAAGGGTGCCACTAGCAAGTGCACACTGAAAACCTACTACTCAGGATGGTCTGGGAGCTCAGGACTCAGCCCTGAGCCTGACGGAAAGGAGGTTGGAGTGGAGGGTGGCTGGCTGGCTTTGGTTTATTCTCACCAGGTGATATGTGAAGAGGAAGGATTCTAGAAGTGAGATGGGGGCTGCACTACTGAGAACTGAGTTTGAGCTTAGGCAATTGGCAGATGACTAACTTGGTTTCCTAGGGTTCATTCATGAAATGGTAGTAGAGGTCCTGGCCAGCATGAAACCCTTCTGCTGTGGGCTGAGGGCTGATAGGGCCTCTGTCTTCCTCTTTTCCAGGTGATGGGGCATGGCTGTGCCTCAGGCTTTTCCAGTGGGCCTCCTTCCTGAGCCTGAAGCTTCCCTGATGGAGGCCCAGCCCTGTGCTCGAAATTTGGCTGAGGGCTTCCTTGAGGAGGAGCTTCGGCTCAATGTTGAGCTGAGCCAACTGCAGTTTTCAGAGCCTGTGGGCCTTATCTACAATCCTGTGGATTATGCGTGGGAGCCACATCGAAGCTACGTGACTCGCTACTGTCAGGGCCCCAAGGAAGTGCTGTTCCTAGGCATGAACCCGGGACCTTTTGGCATGGCCCAGACTGGGGTAAAGAGCCTGGCTTCCCCTGGTGGGTGGAGTGGGAGGCTTCTAGGTGGATGCTTGGTTGGGGAGGGGGAACATGTGCCTGATTGTGGACATGTGTGTCCGTCCCATAGCTCGCTCCTAGTACACCCTGGCTCCTGTAGTCTCAGACACTCTGGCCTCTCTGCCTGTTGTTAACCAAGCACATTAACGGTAGTTTCATTTCCCTTGTGAGCTCTGTGCTAATTGCCTCTGAGAGCTCTTCTTCTGCGATCCCCCATCCTTGCCTTACCTTGTCAGATCTCCCTTGTCCCTGGAGTATGACTGGGGTCAGGAGAAGGATTAGGGCTGCTGGGTCCTCAGGGAAGATTGGTTGGCAGGGGTGAGTATGAAAGACATAGAGGGCATTCTGGCAACCTGGGTTCTGTTTCTTGGCAGAGGAGAGGTTCTGAGTAGAGCCAGGATCCAAGCTGTCCTTTCAGAGCTTAGGATGAGTGACTGCCCCTCATGGGAGTGCTTGGCAGGTGGGGGAGGGGAGGAGGCCTCAGGGCAGGAGGCTCAATCGCTTTTATTGACCCCAACTGGGTGATGAAAGGTGATCAATGATGATCGATGGAAATGACAACCTGAGGCTTGGGGCCGGGAGGGCACCTAGAGAGCAGTGGCTGTCATTCTATCTCAGGTTTGTCCTGGCTGTCATTCTGTCTCAGGCCATCTGGGCCCTCATTACTAACCATCATGGCCTGTGTAGTGCAGATGTCCCAGTATACTCCCTGTACCTGGTCCCAAAGCTAGCGAAGGTAGAGGCAAACAGATAGATTCTTCTGAACCACAGGCCATAGTGAAGCAACTGAAGATGGTCAAGTCCAAACCACAGGCCCAGGAATCTGTCTCAGACCTTTGTGTAGGGTGGCGAGTGGGCCAAACCTGCGTCCTCATGGAAGGGGGATCACTTGGCCAAGAGGTGTCAGGTGAAGGTCATGTCTCTCTTCTTCCCCACAGGTGCCCTTTGGGGAAGTGAGCATGGTCCGAGACTGGTTGGGCATTGGGGGACCTGTGCTGACCCCTGCCCAAGAGCACCCTAAGCGACCAGTGCTGGGACTAGAGTGCCCACAGTCGGAGGTGAGCGGTGCCCGATTCTGGGGCTTTTTCCGGAACCTCTGTGGACAGCCTGAGGTCTTCTTCCGTCACTGCTTTGTCCACAATCTTTGTCCCCTGCTCTTTCTGGCTCCCAGTGGACGCAACCTCACCCCTGCTGAGCTGCCTGCTAAACAGCGAGAACAGCTACTGGGGATCTGTGATGCAGCCCTCTGCCGGCAGGTGCAGCTGCTAGGGGTGCGGCTAGTAGTGGGCGTGGGGCGACTGGCAGAGCAGCGAGCACGACGGGCTCTGTCTGGTCTGATGCCAGAGGTCCAGGTGGAGGGACTCTTGCATCCCTCTCCCCGAAACCCACAGGCCAACAAGGGCTGGGAGACAGTGGCCAAGGAAAGGCTCAGTGAGTTGGGGCTACTGCCTCTGCTGACAAAGTGAAAGCCCCCCGGGGCCAGGCACAGGGTGAGTTTCAAGGTCTCAAGTCACCCTTGCACAAGCAGATGACCACACATCTCCTGGACTGGACCAGTGAGGTCTTCTTGGGCTCTCTGGTGCCAGCAGATAACATTCTTTGATCTGTTGATGCATCCTCTGACCTGCCCTGCCAAGGCAGTGTCTGCTTGCCAGGTGAATAGTGACATCTGCCCTGCCGCTTCCTGCACCTTCTTTGAGCATCAGCCCTTTGTATTTCCATGTCTGAGTCCACAGAGAGTCCGCTCAGTGGGGGACTTTCTGCAGCCTGCTCTACCTCTTCATTTTCTTTTTTTTTTTTACCTCTTCATTTTCTTTAGAGCCTCTCCACAGCTGAGAATCTCCTGAATAGACACGTCTGAGGTCACGTTTGCTATTTCAGAAGGACAATTTTTTTATCTTATATTTTTATTGACATTTTTAAGTGTACCTATTAATAGGGGTCAGCATGATATTTCCATGCACACATATAGAGTGCACTTATCCAGCCTCTCCCTGAATCTTACCTTCTTCCAACCGGAGGCTGGATCTCCAGGATTCCTGCTCATCCTTGCAGAACAGCTTCTGCCTGGCACTTCTCACAGGGACCAGGACAGAGCATGGGGTATGAGGTTAATAATGAACTTCCTGTTGGGGGCTGAGGCTGGATCAGAATTCATTGTGGTAGAGTACAAACAGTCAGAAGAGCTGAATTTTTACCTAGCTTTGAGACTTGTGATCTTTATTGTACTTTTGATATTTTTGTATATTTTTTTGTTTCTTTTTGTGAGTCTTATGAACTCTGTGCTAGACACGTTGATTCGTCTGTCTCAGGATCTTTGTCTATAAAATGGGGATGCCTCTACTTTAGAGGCCCTTGCAAAGGCCCAGCACAAGGTGCTCACTACATATTCTTCTTGATTTTTGGCCTCTGAGGTGGGAAGCCACTACACTACAAAGGAAGCCCCTCTTTACTCTGAAGGCTGCTGGGAGGAGTTTGGGCCTCTACCTGCAGTCTTGGTGAGATGGACCAGTAACTGAAAAACCTAGTCTGTGAGTTTTCAGCCTAAGCATTAAAAGCTCCTAAACTCTCCTGTGTCAGTGCTTTTTTTCCCCACTTCCTGAACATCATGGATGGGGCATGACTTTTTAAATATTTCTTGCTCATATCTCTTCATGACATGCAAAGCTTCTTTTGGGCATCTGGAAGAGGGATGTAGCACCTCTGATTGCCTTGCCAAAGCCACAGGGTCTCCGGTATAGGCCTGCACAGTAGTTTATCTGATTCTTGAGCCCCTTGGGGAACAGATATCAGTGGATGACAGCCTGAATGCAATACTGCACTACAGAAGTCCCTTTCTACTTGGAAGACTTTGCTGGGGAAAATCTGGGGTTCCACATGTGCCCTGGGTAAGGGGCAAATTCTATTTTTTTTTGTTTTCCTTTTTTCTGGTACTGGGGATGGAACTCACGACTGCCTGCTTGCAAAGCAGGTGCTTATGCCGTTGAGCTAAATCCCCAGCAAGGGGCAAGTTCTTGCAGTGCCAGAGATGGAACAATGGCTAAGAAGACCCATAGTTTCTGGCTTGTTTTTTTGTTGAATGGCTGCTTAGATGGCTCTTTGGTAAGGGCTGGGAAAGAACCAAGTTGGGAATAGAGCAATTCTTGAGTCTACTTTAATGTGGGACACTTTGGGTCTCCTGGAATATAGATGATTTCCAACTGTCTTAGAATTAATAAGATTTCACCCTTGTCTATAGCAGCACAATTTGTAATAGCTAGATCTTGGAAACAACCTAAATGCTCATCGACTGAGGAATGGAAAAAAGATGTATTTTTATACAATGGAATACTACTGAGCCATAAAGAAGAATAAACGAAACTTTTATGGGTAAATGAATGCAATTTGAGACCCTACTCATAAGTGAAATAAATCGTAGGTAAACATCATGTTGTCTCACTAGTGTGAGAAGCTGAGAGAACATATGTATATATATATGTATATAAAAAAGATGGTTAAGATGGTTAGACTACTGATTTCTTTGAGGTCACTGAAGAGAAAGACTTATGCTGGTATTGTTTGGACAATTATAAGCAGATGTCTTGTGCTCTGGGTGAATGATTCGGGGATGACAATGCACAATGTATTACCATTATTGCCCCTGATTGATATGCTTTGAAATTTTGTGTTTTTTTTTTTTTTCCTTTTTGAAATAAAATGGATTTGAAAAAAATTAATAAGATTTTTAGTAAAAAAGCCTTCAGGACCTCATTGTAAAATAAAGAATTTGATCTGCCTTCATCCTCAGTCCTGAGAGGGAGACTCTAACATCTTGAAGTTTTACAAGCATTAGAGTGTCTGTTACTCGTGGTAGGCCCCTGAAACCACACCTGAATTTATGTTGAAATTTGATCTTTTTTTTTTTTTTTTTGTCTTTTTCATTTTTACTGGTACCAGGGATCGAACTCATGACCGCGTGCTTACAAGGCAGGTGCTTATGCCGCTGAGCTAAATCCCCAGCCCCCTGAAATTTGATCTTAAAACCACAGTTAAGTTTATATTGATATTTGATCTCAGACCACACCAAGTTTATACCAAGATTGACCTAGGATAGAGGCTGACCTTGCAAGAAAGATCAACCAGGCTGGGAATTTAGCTCAGTGGCATAAGCGCCTGCCTTGCAAGTGTGTGGTTATGAGTTCGATCCCCGGTACCGATAGAAAAAAGAAAGATCAACCATGTGCTAAGAGGGTTGGAACTTCTGGACGATACCAACCTGATCTCTTGAGGGTGGGAATGGGGCTAGAGATCCAATGAAACTATATTGCCCTTGATTTCAGTCAATCATGGCTCAGTAATGAAACTCTAAAAAGAGCTCTGAACACAGATTTGGGTCAGTTTCCTGACTGAACATGTGGATATGTTGGTATGGTGATGTGTCCTGATTCTATGGGCAAAGTACACACATCTGTGTTTAGAACACTTACAGACTTTGCTATCTTTCTGTTTGGCTGATCTGGAGGTCAGACCTAGGGCTTATGTGTGCAAACATGCTGAACACACAGACTAGCACTGAGTAGATTTCCAGCACTGAGCAGATTTCCAGTTCCTGATTTGTATTCTCTACAATAAAACTGTAAATGTAAGTATAGTTTTTCCTGAGTTCTGCCTGTCTAGAAATCACTGAACCAGAAGGGTTGCGTGAACCTTTGAATTTATACCCAGTTGGTCAGCAGGGCAGTGGGGACCCCCAAAGATGCCTCTGCCATGTGAAGTGAGGGCAGACTTACTGGGAACTGTAGAGTATGCACAGACTCCAGCTCGTTAGCATCAGAACTGCACGCATCATATTGTTAACTCTGCCACATTCATCAGGCTCTTTCCCTCTTCAGTCAGTTGCTAAGTAGTGAGTGCCCTGGGGTGCAGAGCACTGGATTAGGCTTTGTGAAATAATTGGAGAGATAGAAGCTGTTCCTTATATATTTGGCTCAGGAAAGCAATCTGGTGTAAGTGACCTTAGAGACTGGGAAATCGGGGAGTTTGGAGAGCGTTTGTTTTGAGGCAAGGTCTTGCTATACAGTCCAGGTTGGCTTTGAACTATGTACCCAGTGGTCCTCCTGCCTTGGCCTCCAGAGTGCTGGGATTACAGGTGTGTGTCACCATGCTCAGTGAGACCATTATGTTCAAAGGGTGGCGAGTAGTGTTGGCCTGGACCTGTTGGGAGAAAATGGAGAAATAAGTTGGACCCCCCTCCTTGTGAAGAGAAATAAGTGTTAGAGTAATCTTTGAGAATTTGGAGCCCAGTGAGGGAAGACTGATGCACAGGATACACATTGAAGACACCCAATCAGAGGTGGAAACTCCACAGTTAAAAGGATGTACATTGCTGACAAAAACACCTGAGGTCATCAACCTAATAAAGAAGTTGGTTGACTGGATTGTTTATTCATGTGGGTATGTATGTACTGGGAATTGACATGCTAGATGAGTCCTTTACCACTGAGCTGTTTCCTTGGACAGAAGAAGGGGGGTTGTGGTTTATTTCAGAAATTTCAGTCCGTGGTCACTTGGTTGTGTTGCTTAGGGCCTGTGGCATCAGTGCATCATAGCAGGAGCGTATGCCAGAGGGGGCCTGTTTACCTCAAGGCCGCAGGGAAGCCGAGATTAAGGTACAGGGATCTCAGTATTCCATCATGGGCACAATTCCATTGATCTAACTTCCTCCCATCATGTTCCACCTCCTAAAGATTCTTCCATTTTCCGGTAGTACCATAGGTGGTGATTAAATCTTCAACACATGGGGCTCTGGGGGACGTTCAAGATAGAAACCATAGCAAAGGAGCACAGCATACGGGACTTGGGTGCCATGGGAAAGGAACTAGGATGAAATTAGCATGTAGGAAGGACATCCTAGGGCACAGCAACGTTCAGGTGAAAGCCTCTAATAGACTGAGAATCATGAGGTGGCAGAGGGAGTGGTGGGTAGTGCATAGTGGTACTTGGATAGTAGAGACCATGATGACTCGAAGTCCTGGATTTGGCAGGTCACTGCCTGGTTTACTTTTTAGTGGGGCTGTGACCCTCAATTCCTGGGTGTGTTTGTTAGGGAGAGGCTGATTGGATCATTGGCCTATTTTTTCCCGAGGGCACTATATTAGTATATTGGCACAGACATAATGAAAATTACACAGACTGAGTAGCTTAAACAACAGAAATTTATTTTGTCACAGGTCTGGAGATTGGAAGTCTGAGATAGGTGTTGGCAGCTTAGGTTTCTCTGGAGGTCTCGTTTCTTGGCTCATAGCCAGCCACCTTTACCCTGTACCCCTGTGCCCCCCTAGAGACTTTTTGCCACACATGCCTTCCTGGGCTCCTCCTCCCTCTTTTGAAGGTCAAATGTCACATTGAGTTAGGGACCTGTTCTAACAACCTCAGTTAGTCTTATTTATCTCTTTAAAGGTCCTATCTCTAAACATAATCATATTAGGGCTTCAGTGTATGAATTTTGTGGGGATGTAATTCAGGCTCTTGCCCCTCAGTTCTTAAGGGCAAACAAGAATGTCTTTAGGGAAAGGCTGTTCATTGTTTCCTCATGAACCGTAGGGACTGGAGACTTCTGCTGGTACAAAACAGTATTGTGAGGTGCCTGAAGTCCAACTGATGTAATTGAGCTCATTCAGAATCCAGTACAGAAACCCCTAGCCATGAGTGACCAGTTTATGTTAATTAAAGTGAATTTAAATTCACTTCTTCAGCTTACTAGCCATATTTCTGGTGGCCAGTAGCCACACATGGCTAGTGGCTACTGAGAGAATGGCAAAGACACAGAACATTTCCATTACTGCAGAAAGTTCGGTTGAACAGCATTGATCCAGCGGTCAGTGACTTGCAACACTGCCTGTGAAACAGAATTGACCTGTGGCCGTGTAGGAAAACACAGGTGTCGCAGCTCCACTTCAAGACATTTTGATTTGGGAGGCTGGACATGCATCTGGGTATATGTTTAACAGAATCTCTGTGCTACATTTATTTATTTATTAAATTTATTAGTCTCTGCAATTCAGACTGGCCTTGGACTCAGTTTGTACTCAGGCTATTCTCAAATTTGCGGTGATTCTGCCTCAGCCTCCCACATTCTGGGATTACAGGTATGCACCACTACACCTGGCCTTATCACCTCTTTTATCCCCTTATTGAAACAAGATGGCTTGTTGGGAGTGGTGGTGCACTCCTGTAATCCCAGTACTCAGAAGCCTGAGGCAAGAGGATTACTGCAAATTTGGGACAAGCCTGGCTACAAAGTGAGCCCAAAGCCAGCCTGAATGGCATGGGGAGACCCTGTCTCAAAAGAAAAAAAAGAAACAAGATGGCTTAAAAGAAGATTGGGTCTTTGTGACTGTGTGGTTTCTCACTTGCTTTTCTCAATCAGCAAACCTTTGTTAATGTCTGCGATGTGTCATTCCCTGTATAGGCACTTTAGGGAGTGACAGCTGAATCAGATGATGCTCTGCCTTCATGTTGGTGACCATCTAGTGCTGGGAGATAGAAGTATATAATTATAGTATAAATCAAACTGAAAGCATGTTGTAA